GACCCCCACCGGGGTCGCGACCCACAGGTTGAGAACCGCTGACTTAGGTATAAGTCCCATTGAACCAAGTGGAATTTACACCTGAGCAAAGTGCAATGAATTGCACTACAGAGGTACATTTTTTCTCATTTATTAATAAACCTTTTGAAGTATTTACAAAATGCCAAAAATATTGTATGATATTATATGGAGATAGTATACCTTTGTACAGCATCTTCATTTTTCAAAACACTGGACTGCTTATTACCTAAGAAGAACAACAAAAATACACAAAGAATAAACCATGTGAAATCACACAATTAATGGCATTGGGTTCCTGTGGATAGCTGAGGGAAGTCCCACTTTTATTTGTTCAATATCTTGCACATGATTCTTCACAAAGGTTTTATTTTAATACACCTTGTGGTACACATAAAGACTTCTAGAAACAGAGTGTGAATTTGCTGTTTGCTTAAAGCACAATGAAATTATTCAATTATATACACATTTGGGAAGGGGAGAACTCTTTTGGCTGCATCTGCCCTGCAGAAATAATCCAGTTTTACATCACTTTAATTTCCACGGTTCAATGCTATAGAATTCTGGGAATTGTAGTTCGTTGTGGCATCAGAGCTCTCTGACTGAGGCAGTTAAATGTCTCACAAAACTACAACTCTGGGGATTCCATAGCATTGACCCATGGCAGTTAAAGTGATGTCAAAATGGATTATTTCTGCAGTGCAGATGCAAACTATGTCTTCTGCTGCTGAGAAAAATAAGCTAATGTACACTACTACACAAAAATCAAACAAGGGCCAGAAGACAGATGAGAGTCAAAAATAAAGAAGGACATGAGGGGTGAAGGGAAAAGGAGGGAGGGGGGAGGAGAAGGGTAGGGAAATGATCATTTCAACAATAATGGGGGCAGGGAGAATGACATAGGAAAACAACTACTGGGCAGCAGCAGTGGTGGGTATTACTAAAGTGAAGAACAGCAGTGACACCATAGCTAACTCTTGTTAGCACTGCGCACAGGGAAGTGTAGGTGGTTCTCCTTGTGTAACCCCCCACCTAGAAAACCTATGAGGAGACATTGGGCCTTTGAAGATTGCTAGAAATAGTGCAAATTGAGTCCACTTTAAATGTCCTGGCTCAGTGCTGGGGAATCATGGGAATTGTATTTTTTTCTGAGACACTGAGCCTTCTCTGTCAGAGAGCTCTGGTGCCACAATAAACTACAGTTCCGATGATTCCCTAGCACTGAGTCAGGGCAGTTAAAGTGGACTCAATTTGCACTATTTCTGGCAGTCTGCAAAGGCCCATGGAAAGTGTCACACAAGCAGGACAAGAGCACTAACAAAGAGATAGAAACTAAAGAAAAACACACTTGCAAGAACAGCTAAAGGCAGCCAAAATGACGAAGCAAGCAGTAAACACTCTCAGAAAGACAAACCCCATCAGAAGCAGCACCACACATAAAATAACGACATGGAATATGAGAAGCATGAGCCAAGGGAAGGTAGACATAGTGAAAATGGAAATGCAGTGCATGACCATAGCAGTACTGGAGGTGAGTGAGTTAAAATGGACAGGAATGAGCCACTTTGAATCAGAAAACCACACAATGCTCTACTCAGGGAATGAAAAGACAAGAAGAAATTGGGTAGCTTTCATACTAAGAAAAGATGTTGCAAAAGCAGTCAGAGGATACAGTGCAAAATCAGGCCGAATCATCTCAATAAGGCTGCATGGGAAACCTATGAATATTACCATAATTCAAGTATATGCACCAACC